TCCTATGGGCTTACAGAACCACCCCAAGGCGGCCGACTGGTGAGAGCCCGTTTGCAATGGCATATGGTATCGAGGCGGTTATACCAGTTGAGCACTTGGTCCCAACTATCAGAAGCTTAGCATGGAGTCGAGATCAGAACGACAGGATGTTAAGATTGAACCTCGATATGATAGACGAAAGGAGGGACGCTGCAGCAATAAGGTTAGCATCATACCAGCAAGTATTGGCGAATAGTCACAACAAAAGAGTGAAACACAGAGATTTTGCCCCTGGCGATCTGGTTCTGAAAAGAAAGGTGGGGATAGTCAAAAAAATGATGCCACCCTGGGAAGGCCCATACAGAATTGCAGAAGTCATAGGCAAGGGAGCATATATGTTAGAGACCATGGCGGGAAGGTTGGTCAGCAAGCCCTGGAATGCCACGTCTTTGAAGAAGTACTCCCAATAAAAGCTAAGTTTCGGCTTTATTGGGTGCTGTTTGTTGTCAATCAAGTACGTATGAATGTGCAAATTCCTGAAATTTATAAAAATAACTTTCCTCTTCAATGGGTTTTTTAAAAAAAAATAAAATAAATAAATGAAAAGCCAAGTGGCAAGTGGCATTCTAGCCGAGCGCCAGGCACTTAAGCAAGATAAGTGGCAGCTGGCACCATAAGCCGAATGCCAGGCACTTGCTAAAAAAAAAAAAAATGAATGAAAAGCTAAGTGGCAAGTGGCATTTTAGCCGAGCGCCAGGCACTTAAGCAAGATAAGTGGCAGCTGGCACCACAAGCCGAACGCCAGGCACTTGCCATAAACACGCACACGACAAAGTTAATAAAAAAAAAGAAGAAGAAAATGTATATATATATTGAAAATGGGTTTGAACAGAGCGTAACATAAAGGAAAAAGAGAAAAAAGAGTTCTGTCATCTCATTCATGATAAGCATTGGAGTTACAAAAAATGAAGTATTCAAGTCACATTGTTACAAAAAAGTATGGAATCGAAGAGTCTGGAGGAGTCCTAGCTAGCTGCCCTAGTACCGACAGCCTCCTGGTTATGCCGATCCGCCTCCTTGGTCCCGTCAGCCATCTCACCCTCACAAGGTGGGGAATCAAGATGAATAACAGAGTCATTCTGCTGGGGGCCAACGTCAGCAGTGACTATGGGAGATACCACAGTTGATGAATGAGGAGCGGTTAGAGGCTGAACGGTAGGAGGAGCTGTAGTGATCCTAGAGGAAGTAATATCCTGACATTCATCAAATATGTGCTCCGCTTCGGTGGGTTCTGGGTCAACATAGACCCCCAGAGGATCAATCCCTAAATCCTTATCGACCTCATCTGGAGTTGAGCTGGTCTGTCCCTCAGCCGGAACTATGTCGGAGAAACCTTCTCGGAATCCCTGAGCATATCTAAGAGCTCCGACTCTTGAGAACCGAGCATGAAGAGCCAGCATCCCACCGTTCACTCTGTTGATGGTATCAATCAGAGCAGTACGCTCGTCCAGAGCTCTCTTCTCAAAAGCCATCCGAGCAAACTGTTCATCAGCCAGAAGGCGCTGGAGCTCTGCCTTTTCGTCTCTGATTGAATCACGTTCAGTCTACCAGACACTCTTCTCAAGCTGGAGGGCATCCTTCTCATCCTGAAGGGAGTCGTTTTCCTTCTTCAAGACATCTCTTTCTTGTTCGGTTTTTTCAAGCCGAGCCAATACCTCGGTATTCTTGCTGGCGAGAAGGTCGTTTTCCTTATTGGCCACCTCCAGGCTATCAGAGAACTTACGGGCCCTGGCGTTCCCTATTTCCACCTGCTTTTGCATAGCCATCATACCAAACAAAGTCTGCATAGATATACATTAATAATGGTTAAACCGATAGTCTGGTCGGACGAAGGCAAGACCAAATAGTATGAGAGGATTCATGAGTTGGAAAATAAAAGTCACCTCCATGGCAGATTGGGGAAAGCGGCTGAAGACATCCTTTTGGGATAGACCTTTCGCCACCTCAAGGTCTTTCGGAGTCCACATGCTCCTATAATACGCCATGGCGGTCTGGTCATCCTTTAGCATGGTCTCGTTCGGCTTCACGAACGTCCCATCCGTTCGGGTGTACCGAGGAGCCCATGGTGGTAAAGTGAGAAGAGAAGGAGAAGCTGAAGCAGAAGCAGAGGCACCAGCTGCAACAGGCCCGGAGGGGGCAGGAGCTCTGACTGGGCAATACAAGAGAGCATTCGGCCCAGAGACCCGGGTCCTTCTTATAAGAGGTTCCTCCTCAGGGTCGACTCCACCTTCAGGATGAGGCCTTTTGCCTCGTTCTTTGTCCCGAGCGCCCCCAGCGGCAGTAGGGGCAGTAGTGATTTGTGGAGACGCGCTCGGGTTGGTAGCAGGGGTGCTGACAACAGAATCAATAGCCACCGTGCTCGGGATGGTGTCAGAGATGGTGGCTGAGGAAGAGGCTGATGCAGGAGAGGAGGTTGCTCCAGCAGCAGAAGTGGCTGGGGGAGTATTTTTCCTCCTACCAAAGGATGGAATCTGAAGCCTGCTCATGGTATAGCCGAGGGATGAGAGCGCTAGAAGGTTGTCTGAAGTGAGGAGGTCTGAGCAAGAAGGAATATCATTCAAAACGTATTTCTTCAAGTAATTACTCCTATCCCTGCAAACACTGTAGCTCAAGTCATCACAAGGTATGCCTAAGGAGCGACATAAGAAAGTACAAAAGCGAGGAACGCATGTTTCGCAGGGACAATCGTTTTTATGAGATTTGAATTTCTTATATGAGGAAACAGAACAGACGCCAAAGGCGCTCGGGATTGGGTAATCCTTTGCAGCCGGCGAAGACCAGGCCCCACTAATGCCCACAATGTTATCCCTCCAACCCTTTTCAGATTTGATTGTGTGGGTAGAGGTGGTAGAAGGGCTCGTTAGTTCGGATCTTACTGACCTTATAACACAGAAGAAGATCTATGAGGTCAAGGTCCAGACTTCTGTCACGAGTCAACAGTAGCATAACGGATATGATTCTAAAGAAATTGGGGTTTATTGAAGACATAATTAAAGAAGGGGTGCAGAGGGAACCTAACGACATTCAGTTGAAGGTTTGAAAATAAAACTTCGCCGGGAAGGAGGCCGGCACCGGTCATAATATTAACATCCTTAGGGCAAACCCTAACTTGGATGTTGTCAGGAAGTCTAAGTCTCATACGAAGAACATCTAGATCTACAACCATGGTGGAAGTGATTGAAGGATCTAAAAGGGTAAAAAGAAGCCTGCCGAAAGTAAAAAGGAACAAAACTAACCTCTGAGGTAGAAAGCAACAAAGAGCACTGCAAGACCGCTGGAAGAATGACTCTTGAAGGATTTCACCGGAAGAAATTTAGCACTGTTCTAAAAAGATGAACGAGAGATTTGACTGATGATGGAGACGGTAAAAAGGCATGAAGTGATATTCTAGAGCCTTATAAAGGCGAGGGGGACCCGAGGGCCGAAGCGTCAGGAAGGCGAGAAATTCATCGAGCCCCGGAACATTGATTCTAGATATGACCGTTCGTTCCCCCATGTGGGTTTCTCGAGCCGTCAACGTCATGATGAGACGCCATCAATAATTACCCCCTTATTAAACAAGGGGTAATTATGGGGGCAGTTGAGGAGGCCCGAAGTGATATGGGCCGGATATGACTTGCAAACGCGACATCCGGTCCGTACAGATGGGTCAGGCCCATAGAAAGACACTGCCATATGGGCCGAACGCGAATAAGCCCATCAAAGATGACCAGAACTCATAGAGGAACGGGCCTAGATCCAGCAGTCCATCGACATTTGTAAATATCTATAAATAGGAGAAGTAATGGATAGAGTAGAGGGAGATATTTTTTGGTTGAAATGCAAGAATTCTAGAGAGAGAAAGAGAGGAGGAATTTCTTGCATCTTCAGATACTTTTTTTTTTTAGTTTTAGTTGGGTTTATTGGTTATGGTTTGCTAAATGTGGTAATAGAGAAGGGTACTTGTAATGGGGTTTTAGTTGGCCAGTTTGTGGATAAGGTTATGTAGTTTTGTTATGTTGAACTGTGTTATGCAGGGAATCTTTTTTGAGGATTGAAATTGGAGGATGGGTTGATGGGGTGGTAGGAGGAACATGGTTAAGAAAATGCTTGGTGGGGGGTGGCAGAAACAGAGGTTTAAGGTGGTTAGGCTGAGGATTCTGGTGGGAGAGTCTCTTAGGTGCTCTCGTGCTCTTGTCATTCCATTTATGAAGGATTTTTTCATTTGTTTGTTTGGATGTAAAATATTTTTTAGAAAATATTTTTTTTTATTTTCTGATGTTTGGTGTCATATAATATTTAGGAAGAAAAAATTATATTAAAACCTAACAAAAATAACTTACCCATTAATTTTTGACAAGCTATTTTACACGTGTTGCCTGATACATTCGATCTCATTCGACCTCAATCTCGATCTAGATTTTTGCCAAATACCAAGAAAGTAAAAATAAAAAATATATATTTTACCTGAAAAAGATTAAATCTTTTTCGAATAAAATATTTTAGGTCAAAACAAACTAAGCCTAAGTGAAAAACATTCAGATTTGAGAAAAGGCATCCAAGAAATTAGAAGCCACCCCAAATCCAAATACATATCTGATCTTTTAATTGTAAGTTTTTCTAGGATCCATCAAAACGAATATGAACAACGTCAACATGTCTCCTACCACTTGACACTAATACATCTTCGAATTAAGTTATACTCTTCTTCTTCTTAATTAATTAATTAATTAGGAGATGACTGTAGAATATACAAGTACTAAATTAGTGATTGAATCATGTCATTTGAGCAGAAATAGTAAAAATACGCGCGCATGAGTATATCTAAAGGTGAGCACTACAATGTGTCACATCGAAATTACTCTAACATTAAAAAATTGATCAACCATAATCCACTATATAAAGGCCAAAGGGCCAAGTACGTTCTCCCACATCTTGCCTCCATTTCTGCTCTGTAAACCCTTGGTTAGTTCTTGGAAGAGATGGCTCTCACCGGTAAGTTGGTAACCCAAACAGAGATCAAGTCTGATGGTGATTTGTTTCATGATATGTTCAGAAAACCACACCGCATATCCAACATCTGCCCTGATAAAGTTAAGGCTGTTGATCTGCATGAAGGTGATTGGGGAACTGTAGGCTCCGTCATCAGCTGGAAATATGTCCACGGTAAGGGCAACACCATTTCTATATATACACAACACAAACACACATGTAAACATACTTAACGTGTGTGTGTGTGTATATATATATATATATATGTCAAACTTAATTATCTGACTTCTTCAGTTTTGTTTCGGATCTCCATTTCACTAGCCTCTGGCTTATACAAGTTAGAATATATGCAATTACTTAGGAATCAGGATCCTCACGAGTCGCGTGTGTTCTTTTTTACAACTATATATGTAAGGCGGGTGTTCTTTTTTACAACTATATATGTAACAATGTTAAATTCTCTATTTAATTGTGTTAAGTGTATAGGCTCTGAGTGTTTCTGTTAGTCCCAAATCTTTGGGCTGTTAAAACTATAAACAGTAAATGATGCAGGAAATATAAAAACCTTTAAGTACGTGTAGAGGGTAAAAATCACGTGGCAAACCAACGATAAAAACCCCACTAATAAAATCATGCAGTATAATGTTGTTCTCAAGTTTATGTCGTAACTTGAGAAATTACAATATGAGGAGGCCCCGGACGACATGGGCCGGATCCGACTCGCAAACACAACATTCAGTTCGTACAGCTGGGTCGGCCCATATAAAGACACTGTCATATGGGCCGAACGGGAGTAAGCCCATCAAAGGTGACCAGGGCTTATGGAGGAATAGGCCCAGATCCAGCAATCAGTAAATATCTTGTAAATATCTTGTAAATATCTATAAATAGGATAAGGAATGGAAAGGAGGGGGATCTTTTTTGGGTTGAGGTGTAAGAATTCTGGAGAGAGAAAGAGGAGAACGAATTTCTTGCATCTTCAATTGGCGCCGTCTATGGGAAACGCATGGAAGTTTGGTTGATCAATGAGGAATATCGAATGGATTCAAACCAATTCGGTTGATCGAGACTCGATCTTTGGGATTTGAATCCAGATCTGAGCGATTGTGACCTACTCTGGAGGAATTACAATTCTTGAAGCTTTGGCAGGAGTGACTTCAGATCTACGCAACAACGAGTTGTTCGATTGTGGCAGGATCTGACGGATTTAGAGTTCAGACAATTCAGATCTCGTAAACAGTGAGCATAATTCGGAGAATTAGAAGCCAGATCTAAAAATTCCTACTCACGAAGCTCGGATCTACTCGCGAACTTGAGATTAATGCCTTTACTCCGTTCGGGAATAATGATAGGTGAAAGCTCCAATCCGATGGAGGCTGTCCAGCAAACAAAGCTTGAGGAGTTGATGAACTTGATTGAAGCTCTCAAAAAAGAGAATGCAGAATTGAAAGCTGGACTGCAACATCGGCAAATACCTGCGGTTTCGCATCCACTTCCGGTCGGAGAAGGAGGTGTTCAATCTAATATCGCGCATCAAGGCGAACAGGATGAGAACAATCAGTCAGCTCACCACCATGATGAAAGGATGATGGACAATTTGCCGCCAAATGTTCGTCGAGTTGAAGATCACGAAGGATCGACTCACGTTGATCCGCAGCGGGAAAGGTTCGACTGAGAGGAAGTGATGGAGGTTGATCGCCGTCGAGTAGCGTCGCCTTGGCAAAGAGAGTTCATAGAGGAACGGTCGTTCGATCCGTCTTACCGGCCCTCCATGGTTACTATCACTCATCACGGTTCGGAGGGCAGAACCGTAACTCACAGAGCTACCGCTGGACTCCAGAGAGAGAATGAAGCTCTCCGATCCGCAGCTCGGACGGTGGATTCACCATTCACCGACGAGATCTTGAATGCCCCGCATCCAAGGAAGTTTGCTATGCCAGTCTTTATTCTGTTCGACGGAACGACCGATCCGGTCGATCATGTGTATCATATCCAGTTGAAAATGGCCCTGAATACGGAAAACGACTCTTTAATGTGCAAATGTTTCCCTACAAGCCTGGCCGGACCGGCGCTCAGCTGGTTCAAAAACTTGCCTAGGAGCTCCATTGGTAGTTTCAGAGACCTGTGCGATCGGTTCATAAGCCAGTACTATAGGAACAAACGCCCACCGAAGGACATCTCGAGCCTATTCACGATGAGGCAGCACAAGGATGAACGTCTCCAGGCCTTTCTTACCAGGTTTAATCTCACTAAGAGTATGGTGATCGAATGCCACCCTTCTACGGCAGTTCAAGCCTTCAAGTTAGCCATGACACGCGGAACTCCGTTTCACACCAGTCTGGTAATGAACACGCTGACTACTATGGATGAACTCAATGAGAGAGCCGATGGCTTTGTGCGCCTAGAAGAAGAGGAGGCAGCTAATGCTCGGACAACGTCGCTTGTGTCGACCGAGGAAAAGTCCAAGGCAAAGATCAGGCAGAAGCAGGCTCAGCCGCAACGTCAGACCTCTTGGAAGGCAGAAAAAAGGTCTAGGGAGGAAGAGCTGATTACTCCGCTGAAGGTCACTCTGGCGAGGCTGTATCAGGAGAACAAAGATAAGTTTCATCCACCACTACCAATTAGGCAACCCCTCGAACAGAGGGATCAAACTAAACATTGTGCTTTTCATTCTGATTTCGGTCATCAGACTAACGAATGCAGGAACCTGAGGAGGCAAGTGGAGATGTTGATAGCTAGAGGGGAGTTCGCGAGTTATGTTCAAGGTTCGGCGATGGAGCAGAATCGACCGGTGGAACAAATAAAAAGGAGTCATAAACAAAGCTCCCACAATTCACAACCAGTTCGTATAATCAATGCTATCCATGGTCGACCCGAGCCTAGTGAAGAGTCAGATGAGCTGCTCCGGGTGCGCCTGCGGCAGGCGCAGATGAAGAAAAGGGTCGGCAATGTGACTACTCTACACCAGCAGAGCCCGTCGATGCAGATAAAGTTTGATTGGACAGACCTGCAGCGTGTTCAACTGCCTCATGACGACCCGTTGGTAGTCAGTTTGACAGTGGCAGATTGCTTGGTGCGCAGAGTTCTGATCGATCCTGGGAGCAGTGCGAATGTCATGCCGAGGGACACATTTGACAGGCTCGAGATTAAACCAGAGAGGCTCAAGCCCACTGGAAATCCCTTGTTAGGGTTCGATGGGAAGAGGGTGGAGCCCGTCGGGATGGTGGAAGTGGAAGTTCAAGCTGCAGAACGAGCTCTTATGGAAACTTTTGTGGTTGTGGAAATTCACCCCTCGTATAATCTCCTGATGGGAAGAGGATGGATTCACAGAGTCCGAGGTGTACCCTCAACTCTGCATCAGGTCATGAGGTGCCTCGGGCCCGATGGAGATAAAGTGATAGACATTCGGGGGGATCAGGTCGCAGCCAAAGAGTGTTATTCCGTCACACTAAAGCATGCTGGGAAAGGAAAGGCGCCCGTCCGTTCGGCAAGCCCCAGATAGCAATTACAGGAACCTCCGCTCGAGCAGAATAGGGTGGAGGAGTCAGTCGACTTGACCGAGGAGCCCCTTCTGGATGTGCAGATCGATCAGTCCAGGCCAGAACGAACTACCAGAGTAGGTATAAGACTGACCAGAGAAGAGCAGCAAGAGCTAGTGGATTTCTTGTCCCACAATGCCGACGTATTTGCATGGAGTCACCTAGACATGCCTGGAATTAGTCCCTCCGTATCCTGTCATTCCCTGAATGTTAATCCCAATTTCAAACCAGTGAAACAGAAGCAGCGAAGATTTGCTCCAGAACGTAATCAGATCATAGCGGAAGAAGTCGATAGGCTGCTTGATGCGGGATTTATCAGGGAGGTGCACTACCCTGAGTGGTTGTCCAACGTCGTTGTTGTGCAGAAGAAGAATGGGAAATGGCGAGTATGCATTGATTTCACCAATTTGAACAAAGCCTGTCCGAAGGACAGCTTCCCGTTGCCTAAGATTGATCAAATGGTGGATGCCACCACTGGGTATGAGCGTTTAACCTTTCTGGACGCATATTCAGGTTATAATCAGATTCCTATGGACCCCGCAGATGAAGAAAAAACTTCTTTTGTCACCGAGCGAGGAACATACTGCTACAAAGTTATGACTTTCGGGCTAAAGAATGCGGGAGCAACTTATCAAAGACTTGTTAGCAAAGTTTTTAAGAATCAAATGGGTAAGATTGTGGAAGCCTATATTGATGATATGGTGGTAAAGAGTAGGAAGAAGGATGATCATCTGAAGGATCTGCAAGATGTATTTGATGTACTAAAGCGATATGGGATGAGGCTCAATCCGACCAAGTGCTCGTTCGGTGTGAGTTCCGGACAGTTTCTGGGACACGTGGTCAACCGCAGAGGCATCGAAGTTAGCCCCGCTCAAGCAGAGGCTTTGATTAAGAATGCCGAGCCAAAGACGATCAGAGAGGTGCAAGCCCTCACAGGACGAATAACTGCATTAAGTCGATTTATTTCAAAATTGTCAGATCACTGCAAACCATTCTTTGACACGATTCGGAGCCATGGAAGGCAGGTCTGGGGGGATGAGCAACGACAAGCATTGACTCATTTGAAGGAATATATGCAGAATCCACCAGTCCTGTCAGCCCCAGAACCGGAAGAAAAGTTATTTCTATATCTTGGAGTATCTGGTGTCGCGACGAGTGCCGTTCTGATTCGTTGCAAGGAAGGGGTGCAATACCCGGTATTTTATGTAAGCAAAACACTGACGGAGGCAGAAAAAAGATACTCAAAGGCCGAACGGGTGGTACTTGCACTTGTAAATGCAAAAAGAAAGTTGAGGCATTATTTCGAATCCCACCCCATAGCTGTTCTAACAACTTTCCCAATCAGAACGCTTATGCACAAGCCAGAGCTCTCGGGCAGAATGACAAAGTGGGCCATAGAGTTGAGTTCATTTGACATAGCGTATGAGCCGAGAACAGCTGTTAAGGGGCAAGCGGTAGCCGATTTCCTACTAGAATGTGACGCCGAAGATACAGAAGAGGACCTTAGATGCGGCTCTTGGAAACTTTTTGTGGATGGCTCCTCTAACCAGATGGGGGCTGGGATTGGGATCAAACTGCAAACCCCAGAGGGTACTTCCTTGAGCCAAGCACTCAGACTTGAGTTCCGAGCCACCA